CCAGCAAACCAACTGTACTTCCCCCTCCCCCATTCCCCCTCCTTTATTTTAATGTACAAGGTTTTTTATACTAAAGATAAAACAAACAGGATTAGCACTGATCCTATCAAATGAAATCATGCTACTTTGTTTAATAAAAATATCTGGCACAGTTGACAGCATATTAGAGGTATGTCCTAAGATCTTAAGTAGTACCTGTGTACAATCAAAAGCCTGTACATACAATCTATGTCCATTGTTCCTAGCAGGTGATAGAGAGATGGACAGGCCATAAGTAAACCAGTTACAGGAGAAGTATCACCCGTAAGGTCACATGAAATTACATGCCTAATAATCCAAATCTAAAACTGATTTTGAAATACTGTAACCTTGTTTCAAGCAACAGTCTACTTTTCATTGAAGAAGTAATTCTGCCTCTGGCCTTTAACAACCTTTGATTGCACACGGGGTTCACACGACTGACCAGATTTGTCATTCAAATTAATTTATCAGAGTATGCTAATTAATTAATTACATCATAGCAAATCAATTCCAATTTATGGCAGCCCTTTCCAGAGTTTTCTGGGCACAGATATCTCCTATTGTACTTGCTACTTAAATGAAGGTGCATTTACAATACAATACTAGGCATACCCACTCAGAAATTCCACTGCATTTAGTAGGACTGATATCCAAGTAGGTATGTACAAGACTACAGACTCCCACAAGTGAGCCTCCAGCAATAAATATATAGCTCAGGCAGCTCAGTCAACAGTCTAACATCAAGGCACTTGCAATGACAGGTGATCTAATTTCTTTTTAAGCAAGGCCTAGCAACAGAAAAAGTACCATATTTTTACGTGTATAAGAGGCTCCCATGTATAAGATCCCCCCGCACTTTTTTAACCCAAAAGAAAGAATCTAAGTGGGACTTAGCAAGTGTAGGGGGAAAGAGATGAAAGCACTGCAGGATCGCTTTGATCCTGCTTTCCCCTCCACTTGTTTTTGTTCTCTCCTCAGCTTACTTCCATATATAAGTCGACCCTCAATTTTTATTCTAAAGATTTTACACAAAAGTATAGTCTTATACATGGAAAAATACAGTAGGTTACACTGCTATTAAGCTTGATTTATTAGAAAATCTAGTCAAAAACTTAATTAAAACTTCCCTAATGGAAAAAAGCCATTTCTGACTCTGCCTGATTGTCATGTACACATAACTGAAATTAAATCTGACTTACAAATTATAAATATGTCATTTCCTGCAATGTGAACAAGCAAGCAGAAAAACAAGTAAAAAGAAGTTTAAACAAATCAAAAGCAAAACAGCAGCTGTCCAAACATCATTAAAAACTACTAGAAACTTAGTCTTTGTTCTGAATATTTCCTCTTTCCTCTCCTCCAATACAGTGCTAATGTATCTGTACCAAGTGCCGTATGTACTCAGCAAAGCCAGAACTTTGATAACATACCATCTTACTCCAAAGCAAGATTTTGTTTCACATCAAGGCAACTGGCCTAAATGAAACCAAAAAATTCAATAATTCACTAAATCCAGTTTCCTCTCCAATTAAATAAGGCTGACAAAAATCAATTTTTATATTATGTTTCACAAAATCCTTTGGTGCTATTTATTGAATTGTTTCAAATGCTTCCTATGAGTCTGTATTGAACCTTCAGACCTATATTTAAAAGCTGGTTCACTGACAACCACTGTTAGGCAAAAGTGAAAGACCCCAGAATTAATATACAAATGCAACTGGCCCCATTGTGCCAACAGAGAAACCAGATACCAAGGCAAATGCAGTTAGTAATGCAAGTCAGAAATTTTCCACAACCGCAATTTAATTGCTATGTTCTTCCATTTTATAGAATGCATTTTTCATGATTAATCAGTAAAAACTGTTTACAAACACAACAGTAAAACCTGGCAACTAACTAGAATCGATACAGCACGGATCAAATCTAAGGTGAATTCTTAAACTACCAGCATTATTCTAGAAAAGGAAGCAAAAACACAAGGAAAGTTTTGAATGTAATATTTGAAGAAAATAGCATAATTCTATGCATTAGATGGGACTTAGAGGTAAGTGTGTGCAATTTCACAGAAATACACTTTATTGAATGATTTTCAATAATACTTAAGTTTAATCCATTTTAGCTACTGGAAACACTTTCGGGATATTTACAGATAGCAACTGCTTTGTGCAGTTTGATCACCGATTGAAGAAATGTACTGTATTTTGCATTTGCACAGTAAAAACTGCCTTAACGCAAGGTGGAAATTTTTGAACAGATAAATTAAATTTGCTAAATCAGCTCTCAAGGCAAATTTAGGGCAGCACACAACAACAAAACTTTGCAGAATTCATATCCCAGGCTGCATCCACTATCTACAGCAACACCCCAGAAGCATCTGCAGAATAGCCATATTCTATGGGCAAGAGCCAACAGTGGTGTCCCCTTGGCACAATCCAATGCAAAGAGGAGGAGTTACGCCTCTCCTCCAAAGGAAGCTCTTAAGGGCTGGGCAACCCTCCAGAGCTGGTTTTGAAGCAGCAGAGATCTGAAATATTCAAATATATTACATATTTTGCACAAACTAATTAGCATGCATTAATGTACTGGCTTTAACTAGTTTTTAATAGATACAGTATTTATGCAAATATAACCCTATAAGTAACTGGAAGACTTTCCTATGACCTAATCTGGGGAAATCTATGTATGATTGATCAGACAGTTCAAACTGTATTATGATAATGCACACAGAAGAGCCATATACTATTCTATTAACAATAGAGTTATTGTTAATACTTTTAACAACAATCCCTATAACTCTGAAACTGAGTCATTTATATATGTAATGAAATTAACAGTTTCTTATTCTATTTCATTTTAGAAATAGCCACAATATTCAAACAAATACACAGTAATATTTTACTGCATAAAAAGTTGTCTGCGTTCTTCATAAAACAATGATTTCGTTGGACTATGACGTCCACTATTCTATATATTTTAGTAGTTTTATACCCTACAGATCGAAGGGCAGCTTGAGTAACACCTCATGTTAGAAAAGGATACACTCCTATTCGTGTTTTCAAACCGAATGCTTGCTTCAAGTGCTGTCAACTGAATCAATTTTAACCCAATATTTAGATTAAATATTCACAGCATGGTTCCAGTGAAGTCACCCATTTTAAGAGCTGGTAATTAAATAAAGATAGCCTACTCTACACCTCAAACAGTTTTCAGTTGCTTTATAATTCAAGGAACTGCAATGCTGAAAACACAAAATACACTTCAGTAAATTCCAAAAGAAATTACTGACAAGAAAGGTGTTTAGGAGGAATCATTCATTCAGCCACACTTGTATAATCTCATTAAAATCAATGACACTATACCAGGTTAAATAAGACACTGAGTCAATACTCAATCTCATAAACCTACCTTTCAAAATATATGCTAATCAGGCAGAAAAATATCAATACTGGAATACAGTGTGATACTTTTGTAATCTGAAGCAAGTTTTAAACCATTTTCAAAGAACCAGATTTATGGACCAAATCAGAAGAATTATGTTTGCCCTATGACAAACTACAAAAACTCTGGGACTATGCAAATAGAAGGCACAGCTACCACCCATCATATTTTTAAACACAATAAAATATTAACCATTGAGAAAGGCAAACTAGTCTGCTTATTCTCTCAGCTGATTTTATCAAAGGCCAAATTCCTAAAATACATCCAAGGTCAACTGAATATAATGGGACCAACATTATTTAAAGCACTGAAAATGGCAGTAAAAAGCAAGAGAAGGCAGGTGGGTCTTTCATAACAAAAACTACAAATCCTCTGCATAAATGTTTTAACATGGACTAGTTAAGGGATGCCACGCTGTGAGCTAATTAGACACTAGTGGGTAGCAACGCCTTGATCCTGACATTAATTCTCTAGTTGTTTGTTGAGACAGGAAAAGACCAGAGTAGAAATGTCCTATTTTAATTTTCCTGGTTAATGAACATTTTAAAAAAGTGTTCCGTAAGGGTCAGATGTATCTGCTACCCTACCCTTTCAGAAAAGCCTTTACAGTATTGGGCTAATCTCTACAAGAATCCTGGGCAGTCTTGGAATTAGCACCAAAGAGGTGTGCGGAAAGAAGGGGGAGGCAGAAATCAATTCTTTTGTCGTTGAATCGGCCTTCGCCCGTGCACCAGCGGCCTAGTGCGGGTGATTGATGACAGACCCCCGCACCGCTCGTCTTCCCATAGCTGGATGTTTGAACTGGAGAAGAAGAGAAGAAGGCGGTGCCGCCGCCGCTGCCGCCAAGGCTCAGGCAGCAGACTCACGCCCAGAGTTAATGGCTGCAACAAATCGATCGCCTGCACCCGGAGGAGAAAGAAGGGCAATGGAACAATGGTTGAAAGAACAGGAAAAAATTAAAGGATATGCAATTGACAAAGTGAAAATATCATAAAGAATATGGAGAATGAGGCGAACGGAAAAAAACGGGAAAGGGAGAATTGGTAATATTTATAGAATATTGATAGAAGAAGCAGATCAGTTAGGAAGGTTAAAAATAATATGGGAAGCAGATTTAGGAAAAAGAGATAAAGAGGAATGGAAATATGTATGGAATCGAAGGGTTTTTAAAAATATGTCAGAATAAAAGAAAATGATTATAAAACAATGTGGGGATGGTATTTAACACCACTAAAATTAAACAAAATAGATTCTAAATATTCCAATATGTGTTGGAGATGCAGTAAATAATTAGATACGTATCTCACTTATAGTGGGAATGTGAAGTAATACAAAGGGCTTGGAGG